ACCACTACTACCACCACCACCACCACCACGACCACTTTTACTGCTACTACTACTACTACTACTACTACTACTACTACTACTACACCACCACCACCACCACCACCACCACCACCACCACCGCCACAACCGCCACGAACACGACCACGAACACGACCACGAGTCGAGAGAGAGAACTGACAAGCAAACGTGTAAGACTTGCGGAAGCAACCGTCGCACGAATGATCTGCAATATAAATGCCGAACTTGGAACCTGCAACTAGTATAGACTCCTTAACTCCATAACTCAAGAAAAACGGCCCCATTGCAGAAAACTTCTCCAAAACCCGATCAAACGCTTGGACACAGGGGTTTAGATCTCGCAAAGCCAGACACCCCAAAGTCTACGTCCTGACTGCCGAAACCCCGAACACCTACAACGCGAAGCCCGAAACCTCCAAAACCCCGAGCCCGGGCCCAGCAGCTCAACCCTAAACCCTCAACTCTAAACCCTGAACCCTAAGTCCGGAACTCTAACCCAGACCCAAGTCCCACCCTTTCAAGCCCGAAGCAACCCCCGACTCCCCCAAACCCTACTTAGAAAATACGGGGGCTTACCTGGTAATTCGGTGTAGAAGTACCTTCACTGGGTGCGACATGTACACATAAGTTGGGCACCCTCCACTATAACCCCTACTTTCTGAGCCCCTTCATCCTGTGACTCAACCCCCGAAACAATGTTGATCCGGGTCTTCAGGATTCCTGCATCCAAAACACCCCGAAAGCCCAACCCTAAACCCCAAACCCAAACCAGGGTACCACTGAATTATAGGAGGTAGGATTAGGGGGATGCTTGTGGATATAGACCCTCTTATTAAGGTAGCACCAGAAGAGGGTTGAGAAGGGGTCCGCTTTGAAGGGTCACCTAAGCGGCTTAGGGTTTAAGGGTTTAGAGTTCAGGGTTTAGGGTTTAGTGTTTAGAGTTAGGGTTTGGGGTTTAGGCCATTTTTCAACCTAGGAAATTAAATGCTCACACTTCAAGCGACCCTCACAGGGCGCCAGGGGGCGGGTTGTTTGCCGGAAACCTGGCTTCTTGCCGCGCGGCCGGTACAGGCCGCGAGGACCCACAACCCGACACCAACGCATCTTACTTGTGGCGTAATTAAAATTGTGTCTTCTGATGTAAAACTGCGAAGGGAAGCCAAGAGCAAAAGAAGTCGTGAGCCCTAAACCCTAACTGATCCAGAAACGTTGGGGTGGTTGGGGCGGGACTACAGGCTGACGGACGCGCGCAATAAGTGCTTCTCAAAAGAACCCAGCCACTGCAAGCACACTGAAAAAACACACCCCTCGACCCGAAACTCTAAACCCTAAACCCTGACATGAACCTTAAACCCTAGATCCCAAACCCGAAATGAAGCTCAAACCCTAAACCTTGAATGAGCCCCTAAACCCTAAACCCTGAAACCCTAAAACCCTAAAACCCTAAACCCTAAACCCTAAAACCCTAAAATCCCAAACCCTAAAACCCTAAAACCCTAAACCCTTAAACCCTAAAACCCTAAAAGGTCCAGTCGCCCCAGGACCAGAAGGGCAGTCCACTCTCGCACTTCCCGTGCTGCGCCAGGTAGCGCCCCAGGGCCTGCTTGGAGAACACCTGCGCTTGGGTTTAGGGTTTGGGGTTTGGGGTTTAGGGTTTAGGGTTTGGGGTTTGGGGTTTAGGGTTTAGGTTGGCGTCTAGGGATTTTCGGGTTCAGGGTTTAATGTTAACTCTTACCTCTTGCACATGGGTTTAGGGTTTAGGGCTTAAAATGGGGCCAGGGTCCCTGGCCAAATTCTACATTAGGGATTTTCGGGTTCAGGGTTTCCGATTTTGGGTTCAATGTTGGGGGTTTACAGGATTTTATGGCCGGCTTGGAAAACACCTGCGCCTGGAGATTTGCTTTTCGCATGTTAGGCGACTAAATTTGCGCACTGTTTACATTTGGGTAGTTCTCTAAATTAGGGTCCCTTTTTGGTCCCCAATATAGTACGGCACCCTTAAAAAGGACCCTAAAAGGGACCCTAATATTGGAAAATACCCATTGGCTGTTGAAGCCATGCGTGTCTTGTTTACGGGGCACTAGGGCTTGTCCAAAAGCGCTCTAGAGGGGCTTTTAGTGGGGTTTGGTGTAGGATAGGATTTCAGACGAGCTTTGCGAGGGTTTCGAAATGCTGTGGTAAGGTAAGAAGTTCAGGTTTGAACACATAGCAGCATATGCCACTAGCGGGGAACAGCTGTGCTCGGCTATCAAACCCTAAAACTAAACCCTAATACCCTAAACCCAAAAATCCAAACCGTAAACCCGAAACCCTAAAACCAAAATCTTAAACCCTGAACCCTAAATCCTGAACCCTAAACCCAAAGCCCTAAACCCTTAACCCGAAACCCCTAAATCCTAAACCTTGAAGCTGCCCCTTATAGCGCCGGCGCACATGGGCCACGCCACTCTCGCAAGATTAGGTTTGGGCTGTCGGGTTTGGGGTTTACCTGGGGATCCCAAAACCTACCGTTTTAATTGTTCTACCCTCTAATTAAGGGGTCATAACCTACTATTTTGTAGGGTTTGGGGTGTACCTGGCGATCCAAAACCTACCGTTTTAAGGGTTCTACCCTGTAATTAAGGGTACTATTTTGTAGGGTTTGGGGTTTAGGGTTTAGGGTTTGGGCTTAAGGTGTAATGTGTTCAGGGATACCGGATTCACCAGCGGAGACAACTCTCTCGCAGGTTTGGGATATGTCATAGTCTAGCTGTTCGATCACTCAGCTCAGGAAACTTCAACTACCCTCTACCGCAAACGCTGAAGCCCCAACACCCTTAACAGGGTTTAAGGTTTAGGGTTTAGGGTTTAGGGTTTAGGGTTGTTTCTGGAACCCTGCAAAGAAAGCCCAGCAGATAAGATACCTCAAATGCTTATCAGGATCCCGTCAGAAGCTCAAGCGGTGCAGATTTAAGGGGTGCCGGGATCTCTGGGCACCGTCAACTCGGGCTTGATACCCGGCCCTGAACCCGCAGACTGTTTAGGGTTTAGGGGTTTAGGGGTTTAGAGGTTTAGGGTTTAGGGACCATATCATAAACACGTGGCACTAGTATCCTTACTGTATGAACTCCTAAGCCAGGTACCCCTAGTGGTGAAATACCCAAATTAGAAAGATGCAACGAAGCAATGTCCCTAAAAATTGTGCCCGAAGTAGACCCCAGACCCCACACCCGGTACCCTAGACTCTAAACCCTAAATCCAATCTAAACCTACCGCTCCACCTACTGAGCTCCATAGTAAAGCCCTAAGCAAGTGTAGGAACTCCCGAAAGAAACGTTAACGGAACGCTTTTTTGAAGGGAACCCTCTGTCCTTCCTAAACCCTAACCCTAAACCCCCTAAACTTCAAAACATACGACATCCAGAGCTCTTCTCTATTCTAATATCAAGACGCCGATATTACAGAACCCCTATGGAACCCGTATATCAGCCCATATTACAAGAACCCATTACGGAAGCCTAAACTCCCACGAGAACCCTCGCAACTCCACCTCCAGAGCTCCGTACTAACACCCTAACCCCAAAAAGAAACCCCGAAAGAACCCTTCAAGCAACCCTTTAAAAAAATCCTAAACCCTAAACCCTTAACCCTAACCCTCCTAAACCTCCCTTTAAAGGTGGCAACTCCACCTCCAGAGCTCCGTACATCATCGGGTGCCACTTTGCGCAGTTCAGGAAGAAGACCGGCCTCGGAAATGTCGCGCTTAGGGCTTGGGGAGTTTGGGGTTTAGGGAGTTTGGGGTTTGGGGAGTTTGGGGTTTAGGGTTTAGGGTTTAGGAGTTTGGGGAGTTTAGGGTTTAGGGGTTTAGGGTTTAGGGTTTAGGGTTTGGGGAGTTTGGGGTTTAGAGGTTTGGGGTTTAGGGTTTAGGGTTTCGGGGTTTAGGGTTTGGGGGTTTGAGGGTTTATGGTTTAAGGGTTTAGGGTTTAGGGGTTTAGGGCTCAGGGTTCAATGACCACCCTCGCAGCGCTGTCAGGCCCGGTCTTCATCCCAAGCCGCGGCAGAGCGCCAAAATCTCGTTGCACAACCCCGAGCTGCGTGTCCATCCGCCCCTAAACCCTAAACCCTAATCCCTGAACCCTAAACCCTAAACCCTGAACTCGAAACCCTAGACCCTGAACCCTAGACCTAAACCCTGAACCCTGAACCCTAAACCCTAAACCCTGAACCCTAAACCCTGAATCTTACAACCTAAACCCACTAAACCCGCGGCCATTCACGGCAGCCACGACCGCTGGATGGGCCAAGCAGGATGCGTTAGTAAACTGAAGTGTACCTAACCCTAAACCCCTAAACCCTAAACCCCGTACCCTCAGCCTTCACCAGGCTTGGATGGCATTGTGGCTCGGACGCTTTACACAGCTGTCCCTCCTCTTATATGTGCATCGTCGACGCAGATTGGCATCCCAGCAACGACGGGTTTAGAACCCAAAACTCCAAACCCTACCTACTAGGTTCCTCAGTAGCCTCTAGATAGTGAGGGTACCCTCTTCCTAGTACTCGGTTTGAATAAGGGAACCCAAAAAGAACAAGGGCAAAAGGATACTAATGGAGAACGTAGCTACACCAAACCCCAAAAACCCTCTATCGGTTTAGGAGCCCAACAGGATTTTGCAGAGCTGTTACTGGGTTGCTTGAGGTTTGCAGTCTACCTGTGACTCCAAATGTTTTTCATTGAAAGGGCTCTACCCTGTTACTGTGTAAAGGGCCAGTTATAAGCGCGCATGCACCAGACTTTGACGGTCAGAGATCCTCTGAATTCCCCTACCCATTGCTGGCTATGCGTGCCTATCTTCTGTTTCTGGCCCCTCCACCTGCTAGGCAACCGAAGCCCAAAGCCCTAGCACCCCCCAAAGACAAATAAAGCCGTTACAAAACCTTTTATCAAAACCGCTTTCGAACCCCACTAGGCCAGTGTAGAACCCACAAAAATCCGAATAACTCTAGGTACCCTTCCCAAACCCTTGCCAAATCTTATAAACACTCTGGGCGCCCCGAGCTGGCCAACGTGCCAGCTGAGATGACCACGCATGCGCTCCGGAAAGAGCACGGCATCTGGGTCCACCTCTCAGACTTAAGCACCCTATCTAATGAAGGAACATACCTTGAGCTATAAGGGGCCTCGTATTGTGGATTCCAGCTATGTTTCTTACGGCACATGTTCAGGATTACAGGCCTAGCTCGTTTCGGATCGTCGGGTTTGGGCTTGGGACGGTTAGGGTTGGGGTCTAGAGTTTAGGGTTTAGGGCTTAGGGGAACTTTCTCGCAAGGCCTTTAAAGTCTCACGGAGCTTACTTAAGATGTGCGAAAAAGCTTAGCAACGTAACATTTAGACAGTAGGGACTTTAAAGGCCGTCTGTAAGAGTTGACAGTGATTGCATAACATTCTAGACGAAATTAGCATTCGCTGGAGGGTCGCTTCAAGGGTCATGGGACTTTGTGAATTTCCAGGTTCTTCATCTGGGGGGGGGGGTACTGTGTCTATCACCGCTACCAATGCTATGAATGCACCGCTACCACCAGCAAACGCTGCCACTACCACCAGTGCCACCTCTGCCACTCATGCGGCTTTCATTTGTTAACACTAAAGTCCGTAGATCATTTGTTAACTCGTGCTACTTGATGTGTCTCCTCTTTCATGTGGTGTTTCGAAACCCTGTGTCAAAACCTAAGTCCATACGGCATGCACTTCACTACACGCCAAACCAAAAAACCCGGAGGCGGTCCTCCAATCTCCCACAGCCTCAGCCACCCAAACCCCTTAAACCCAGAGCAAAAACTAATTAAGCCCTAAACCCTAAACCCTTCAAGTCGTACTTTAGAGCTGCAGGGAGGCGAGGGAGGGCCGAAAGGTTGGTGAGCTTCGGTGACCTTGAGGGTTTAGGCGCTTTAGGGGCTTTTGGGTTTAGGGTTT